AACTGTATATTGAATATTCTATGATGAAAATACTCCAGCTCATGACCATCTTTTCAAAAAAATAATTGAAACAAATATTAATAATTTAACATTTGATGACCCATTATGCAATAGTATTGTCGATTTAAGCTCAGAAAAATTTTAACTTTCAGAAAATGACTATGTTGCTCTAGTGGTATATATAAGTAGTATTAGGCTAAATGAATTAATTTTGAGAATCGATTATGATTGAGATTAATTATCTTACAAACTATTTACAGAATGAAAAGATGTGCATAAGAATGTTAAGCAAAGATAAAGAAATAAAGAATATTTGTAGTAATTTCGTTACAAGAAGAAACAAAGTCCAAAAGATAAAAAAGTTTGTATTTTCATCAACAGAAATAGCAATATATGATCAATGGATTGAGAAGGTTCATAAAAGGGAACATATAGCAAAGATTATTACTGATGTTCTTTTACAGGAGATAAGATTTAATGCACTTCGTAAAATTTTTAGAGGTTCTGAAAATTCTTTTATAGAAATTATATCCTATTTGATTGATACTACCATGTACCACCTACCTGTAGAATGCAATATTGATGTAACAAAAACCAAGTGACAAAGTATCATGAGTAAAAATCGCAAGGTTCAAAATAATGAAGAATCTAGAAGAGACAAACCAGATCTTATGATACGATCATATCATAGGCAAAGATGGGAGAAGCTTGTGTATTTTGAGAGTGACAAGTGGAATGCCAGTGATAAAAAAACACCTGATGATCATAATAAATTAGCACATCTTTGCCTTGATGGATATGATGAAATTTCAAAAAAGTATAAAAAAAATATTTTGTATAAAAATTATATAGAATTTGGTGTCAATGTTGCAGGTGAATTTCTTGTAATACATGGACTTATACGAGAAAAGGGATTAAATATTATCTTCCAATAGCTAAAGCGAAAATACCCTTTAACATGGAGTCAGTTAAGGAAATTGAAGAATTTGTTCATGCCTTATTAATTTTACGGGTGAGTATTTTTTTTTTTAAACTTAAATTTGACCGAATCACTCAAAAATTTTAATTAATTATTTAGAATGGAGTTATTGTGAACTTGCATTGTCTTGTCAACAGTTTTCAGACAAGATCCAGGAAGGTTAGTGAAAGAAGCTCTTCACGTGATGCTGGAAGATTAAATAAGAAAAAAAACGGAGAATTGAAAAAAGGTTGATTTATTCCTGTAATTTATTTTATTTTATTTACATTAATAAAGCCGGTCCTGGTGGTTCGAATTTGCATAAATTATCATTTTTACTTTTTATGTGTATTTTTATTTGTAGTTATCGATATATGGTAATTGACTTAAATTCGAAAACGACATAGGTCGTTTTGCATAAACTTTTTTATAAAAAAATAAATAATACAGTGCGGTTAAATTTATGTTAAATACTAAATTCACATTTGTACGTTTAATAAAGCATATTTAAATTTACGTACATATTCAAAATGGGTGGTGCTCATT